CTTACAGTGCCAACATCCCATATGGGTGCTGGTTCAAGACCTGGTTGCTCCACTTCCAATCCAGCTCTCTGTTATGGACTGGGAAAGCAGTTGGAGACAGCCAAAGTGCTTGGGCCCCCGCCACCCATGCGGGAGAGCAGGAAGAAGCTCCTGACTCCTGGTTTCAGATGGTCCCAGCTCCTGCTGTTGTGGCCACTTGGGGAGTGAACCACCAGATGGAATACCTCTCTGTCTCACCGTCTCCCTGCCTGTAACTCTACTTCTCAAATAAATGAATAAATCTAAAAAATAATCCTTTTTGCAAAATCTTCACTGTCACAGCAACCAGGAAGTTTGCAAGATTGTACATTCAAAAAGACTTTCAATAGCAGTATATCTAGTTAGCCAGTATTGAGGACCTATTCTGTGACACTCACTACTAGGGACATGTCTATGAAAGGGCTGCTATCCTCTGCCTATCTGGTGGCTATGCCATTGAGGGTCAGGCTTTGCAGTCAGTGGAGGTCTCATGAATAATTGCAGTAGATTTGACCTACTGAGATTTGGGGCCTTGATTAAGTCTGTGGAGTTCTGTCTTTTATGAAATCCATATTAGTCCACTTATGACAACACTAATCCAAATAGCTAAAACTAGGAAGATGTATCTGCTAGCCCGCGCCTCTGACAGGTGACAAAACAAGGGTCAGGTACAGCTGCGCTCAGACAACACAAAGCAGACACATCACAGTTATGGCAAGGAAGTTTTCAAACAAATGGTCCAGAGCGAAATCCTTAGACACTTAAGGCAGTAAGAGCTCTTTCCGTGAGGCTCTGGCTAACTTAGCGCCTGCAGCTTTGTCAAGACAGACTTTTCCCCCGGGCTACCTTGATTTGATATTTCTCTAAGTGCTTTCCTTAAAGATGTTTAGAGTTGGGGTCAGGAAAAGGGAGAGAAGAGGCATAGGAGAGGAAAGCGCTTAAAGATCCTATTTCACATGGAAGTCCCTTTATAATGCAGGGCTACATGCGAGAATCATTTGAGTTTGTTAACACCCTCTTCAAAACATCACATGAAAGAGAAAACCTTCTTTTCACTGTACCAATGACTGGATTTGGCTTTTGTGTATTTATAGGTTAGTGTACACCCAGGGTCTTCTGAAGTTTGATGAAACAGTATAATAAGCAGCTAATGCAATCCAAAGACCTTGAAAGTCTCCTGTAGAAGCTGCTTGATAGATAAAAAGCAAGTTTTCTCTCTCTCTCTCTCTCTCTCTCTCTCTCTCTCTGCATCAAGACTTTGCTAGAAGCCTTATTTTTAATATAATCATTCTCTGGTAATTTCATCAACATTATTACTAAAACCATATGCCCTGCCTACACTGCCTGTTTCTTTTCTAATCTTCTTTGGATATAGTCTCTTGTCAGACCATGTATCCCTGTTTCTGATTCAAGGCTAAGATCATTGTGCCATTATGTCAGGTCCCAGATCAGCACCATCTGCTTCCCCCGCACGACTGGGTATCCCTATCCTTGAGTAGCCTGCAATCAAACCAGACTCAATGACGTCCAAATGCCCCTGTAGTCCTTGACCCTTTGGTCCACCTGATCCCATTCTTGGGTCAAGAACACTTCTTTCCCTCACTCATCTCTGTTAACCAAGGATTCCTTCCTTATTCCCCCCAGAAATGGAGAAAATACATCCCTTTCCAACCAAGAAAACAACTCTCAGCCCACCTACCATCAAGTCCTCTTTTCTTGATCCAAAGGTGGTAACATGTATTGTCCATGTATGAGACTCTCCATTCACCTTTGCCTGCAACCATATCCTGCCCCTCACTATTGCCTAACAACCACTATGGATGAGATATGTTGGACCTCAGGGGCCAGCCAGATTCTAAGATGCATGAAATTATATCAAAGTGATAATCAGCAAACCAAAGACACAATAGATGGTCTCAAGAGAAAAACACACAAAGTGGATGAGATTTCTCAGTTCACCCTCCTTCGCTCCACAAAGGTGCTCTTTGGAGGTTTGCTGGTGAGGCAGTTGTGTGTGTGCGTGGGTGTGCAGGCACCATCCACAGATTAGTATTCGTGTTAGTGTTTAGAGAAGTCCACACTCCCATTCCCTTTCTTGTAACAGAGCACAGCCTGTATTCTCTCCCTTCTTTCTGTATCATTGGGCTTCTTAAAAACTGGAGTGTAAAAAGCCTGCCCAAAGCTTTCCACAATAGATCACACAGAAGATTTTTTAAAGTCTATATATTTCTACACTTGATCTTAGCCAAAAGGCCAAGAAGTGATAAAAAGTCTATATATTTCTTACCCCACCTTAACATATTGTGGACTTTTTACTGTAGTCTTTTGTGTTTATATGCTGAATTTCTTTTTACCTGAGATCCTATTGCACCATTCATTTGATCTTTTGACTGTGGCTTGGGCAAATCATTACATGGCATTTTTTGCATGAGTTTCCAGAGCATTGAGCCTAGACCTTACCTGTCCTGAATTGTCAGTATTTACCACGGATCTTCTATAGACTATTTACATGAGTGTTTGCCAAATTGCTGGTGATTGCTGTCCCATAGCACAGTGGCTGGCTTAACTGTCAGTCCTCAAAAGGAGGGAATTGTATCTGTTTTATTTTCTGCACAGAACCTAGTAAGACCGGTGAAAGATTTAATAAGTTCATTTGAAAATTGATTCTATAATTTATCTCCACTTTCACAACCTGTCTATGGTTTGTGTTTTTCTTTGTTAGTCAGATACATTTGCAAAAAATTAGGAAAACTAGAAAGGCAAAGATATCTTACCTGTTATCTTTGAAAGTCAAACAGGAACAAATCAGTGTCTGTGATGTCACCGTCATCTCCTTCAGAAATGAACATCAAGGACTATGGTTGTAGATGAGAAGTGACTGACATTACGACCAGCGAAAGCCTTAATAGATGATTGAGCCCGTTTCCCCAGCTCCCTCAGGCCACCTGCCAGTATGAGAAGGACATGCAGTAACCCTATCAGCCTGCTTCACAATTAGAACGAATTCATAAGAGACAAAGGATCTTGTTTTCATGGGAAAATATCCTTTGTGATATCCAACAAAGGAAGAATAATTTTGAAGGCATGTGACTTGGGGTCCCATCCTGCAGTTCTTGCACAGACAAAACTCTCATTGACTCTATCAATAGAATTGTTACTACATAAAAAGTCTTTTGCAAAATTTCCATGATGCTTCAAAGCGCATTTTAAGTGCAACAGGCTCAGCATCCCACGCCCTCCCCATTTTAATAAAGCTTGCGAAGGTTTCCCTTAGATTGCCCTATTGTGCAGCAGGAGATAAACACAGCACAGGATTGGAAGCCAAGGGACACCCCCACCCCCACTCCTGCATATATCATCATTCCAAAATCCATTGCAATATAGAGAAGGTCAAATTTCAACTGGATTTCTGAGCTTGAATTTTCCCTTTCAAATTGCTCTTGCCAGGTAGACAGAAAACGGATTTCTTGCAGGCTTCAATAAATACCATCTCCAAGTAAAATCCACATTTTTCAAATAGATAACAGTATAATGATTGGTATTGCTATTCCAGCTATGGCTGAATAGCAAGCAGTCCATTCCTTTTTATGTAGTATGCTCCTTAAGAGCCTCAAAAGATGAAATTGGGCCTTCAATACTGCTGGAATGAAGGACAATGGGCCCTATCTCTTCTTTTGAATTCTCCTAGCAAATGTACTGCATAAAATAGAATACGGTGCTAGGAAAGACTTCCCCTCTCAAAAAAAAATAGCAGGCAATATCTGTTCTAATAGATTATCCATTCTCATTCATACCTGTGTTGTTGTTCACTCAATGGATGCAATGTTAAGTAGGTACCATAATATTAAACTAAGGGAAAAATTTATTTTATGAGCTTTGGCCCTAAAAATGCTAATATCAATAGTTCCACAAATGAGCATGAAAAAAAAATTAGGGGAGCATGTAGCCTTACCCCTGAAACTTTTAAGAATCACAAAGATCTTTTCCATCCTGAGATGGTTTAGGCAAGCAGTTGGCCTCTCTGGGAGATGATAACCAAATTATGTGAGTGCTCAGGAAGAAAATTAAGATGTCATCATGACAAATAAAGCATTAGGTCTTTCAAACATATTCCCTTCTCTCTCTCTCTCTCTCTCCCTCTCCCTCTCTCCCTCTCTCTCTTTCCCTTTCTCATAAGGACTTTTTCCATCTTTCTTGCCCAAACAGTAATATTAATACATAATTCATTCACAGTTAACATGCATTGAGCACTTAATATATATCAGATACTCTTCCAAGTGCTTTATATGTATTAACACCTCAATTAATACTCACTACCACTTCATGGGGAAGGTGCAGATCAATTTTACAAGAGAAAAAAAGGATGCAAAAAGCAGATTTTTAGTAAATAATTGTTAACTGATCTAAATAAATGGAGCCTGGTAGAAAGTTCCTGAAACTAAGAGCTATAGGTAGTGACTAAAGAAAACTGTAGCAAAAAAAAAAAAGAAGAAGAAGAAGCTGTAGCTAGTGACATTTAAAGTTTATGTGTTATGCTTATCCATAGTCAACAGATGTAAGAGGCAGCCATTAGCCTCCCTAAATCCATTCTCTTCTTCACTAGAAACAAAACCTTGATTCCCACCCCTACTCTGGCCCACCAGAATTCCTCTCAGTTAAGTACGGCCTTGTGGCTAAATTGTCTCCATTTTTAAAAGGTGGTGTCTGCTCTGGCCTCAGAATCAGCCCTTAAGGCATTCGGATCTGGCTAAAAAGCCCATGAGAGTATCAGGCATGGAAAGCCAAGACACCGTGGCAAAAAAAAAAAAAAAAAAAATGACCTAAATGAAAGATCTCTGTGAGTGAGATCCCAGTGGAAAGAACGGGCCATCAAAGAAGGAGGTACCTTTCTCTGAAGGGAGGAGAGAACTTCCACTTTGATTATGGCCTTGTCTAAATAAGGTCAGAGTTTGTGAATTCAGAATGCTTCCTTATCCTTGGCAGCTCACGACAAGAGCCTCGGGTGATCACTGATGTCATAAATAGGAGTGTCAATTGTTAAATCAACAACTGGAGTCACTGTGCACTTACTCCCAATGTAGGACCTCTGTCCTTAATGTGTTGTGCTATGAGAATTAACGGTAAAAATAGTCTTCAACAGTTTTTTATACTTTGTGTGTCTGTGTGGGTGCAAACTGTTGAAATCTTTACTTAGTATAGAGTTGATCTTCTGTATATAAAGATAATTAAAAATGAGTCTTAATGAAGAATGGGATGGATGAGGGAGTAGGAGATGGGATGGTTTGCGGGTGGGAGGGTGGTTATGGGGAGAAAAACCGCTATAATCCAAAAGTTGTAATTTCAAAATTTATATTTATTAACTAAAAATTTTCTAAAATAAATAAATAAATAAAGGTAAGATGAGGTTGGAAAAAAAGAAACCCTCCCTCTCCCCCCCCCCAAAAAGAGGTGATATCTGGAATTTCTGGGAAGATCTTCAAATGAAGGAGGACGAGTGTTCCCTTCCTCTTTTCTGCTACCCAGAACACACATGTAATGTTTACATTCAGTGGTCATTTTGGACTAGGAAATGAGTGACCTTGGGAGTGGAAGCCACATGCAGCTAAACAAGATAAAGGAGTGCTGATGTGGGAAGTCATCATACTATCACTGACTGCCCACATCCAAACTTCTTTTCCATGAAAAGCCATATGTTTCTCCGTTGTTTAAGCCACTTTTACATGCAGCCAATCTAAAGCAAACAATTGGCATCTATACAACAACAAAACTGTTCCTTTGATACATATAATGAAAGGTTGTGTTGATACTCAAAGGAGATCAATGGTTGTTAAGGTAAACCTGGAGTGGGCCTGTGGCCTGGCAGTTAAGAGGCCGATTAAGACACCTGTATCTCACATTGAAGGGCCCGGGTTCGGTTTCCAGCTCTCAATTGCAGCTTTCTGGCAATGCAGACCCTAGGAGGTAGTAGTGATGGCTCAAATAGCTGGATCCCTATCACCCACATAGGAGACCCAGACTGAGTTCCCATCTCCCAGCTTCAGCCTGGCCCAGACCTGGCCATTGCAGGCAATTTGGGAACCAAACCAGTGGGTAACAGCTCTGTCTGTCTCTCTCTCTCTGTCTCTTGAATAAATAAAATAAAAAATAAAATTAAAATAATCTCTGCATTTATGTAAACAATAAACTTTCTCCAATTATGAGAATAATAAACTTCCATTTTGGAAAATTTTTTAAAATGTAAATTAATATAAAATTAAGATACAAATCATCAAATCTTATAGTTGAAGGAAGCTCCAGAAATTATATTGTCTGACATTTTCTTAAAGCCAGAATCCTGGCCGGTGCCGCGGCTCACTTGGCTAATCCTCCGCCTGCGGCGCCGGCACCCCGGGTTCTAGTCCCGGTTGGGGCGCCAGATTCTGTCCCGGTTGCCCCTCTTCCAGTCCAGCTCTCTGCTGTGTCCCGGGAAGGCAGTGGAGGATGGCCCAAGTGCTTGGGCCCTGGACCGGCATGGGAGACCAGGAGGAAGCACCTGGCTTCTGGCTTCGGATCGGCACAGCGCGCTGGCCGTAATGCACCTGCTGTAGTGGCCACTTGGGGGTGAACCAACAGAAAAAGGAAGACCTTTCTCTCTGTCTCTCTCTCTCTCACTGTCTAACTCTGCCTGTCAAAAAAAAAAAAAGCCAGAATCCTTTCAACAGCACCCCTGTCCTGATGCCTATCCAGCTTCTTCTAGAATAGCCCCGATGATGAAGAACACAAGGGCTTATGAAATAGTTTGCTCCATAGTTGGGTTTGATCTGTATTAGGTAATCTTTTATGTTAATGAAAACTATGCTCTTAAATCTGTATATATGAAATACATGAAATGTGTTCACCTTATATGTATAGATAACACAAACACAAAACAACAAAAAATTGCCTCCTTGAGGTCTGACAGAACCAAAATAATTTATTGTCTGCCATGAAACATTTGCTTGTAGGCATAAAAGCTGTATTTTCCATACTCAGTCTGAAATTATATTGCAAGTTTCATGGCAGGAATGAAAAAATTGTGACATATAATGATGGCAAATCAGGTGAAGGTAGGCATAGACATTTTCAAAAGACTTTTGTTGTTGTGGTTAACAGAATTTAGTGAGTAGCTAAATATGGAAGGTAAGGTAGATGGTGATGTCTTCAATGAACAGAGAATATTCAAATAGTAGAAGGAGAGGTGGGCATTTGGCCTAACAGGTTAAGATCCAGTTAGGTTCCCCGTGTGCTATATCAGAGTGCTTTGATTTGATTCCAGGTTCTGGTTCTGGACTCTGGTTTCCTGCGAATGCAGATCCTGGGAGCCAGTGGTGATGGCTCAAATAATTGGGTCCCTGCCACCCATGTGGGAGACCAAGATAGAGAGATGTTAACACACACTGTCCTCTTATCCAGCTGTTAGAGACAGTGTAGGGATAAGGGTAGTATGCTCTTAAAATGGTATTATGGTTCAAGAATTCAAGAATATGTAAGTCCTGTCTCCATGGTGCAGTAGGTTAATCCTCCGCCTGTGGCACCGGCATCCCATATGCATGCTAGTTCTAGTCTCGGCTACTCCTCTTCCAGGCAGCTCTCTGCTGTGGCCTGGGAGGGCAGTGGAGGATGGTCCAAGTGCTTGGGCCCTGCACCCGCATGGGAGACCAGGAAGAAGCACCTGGCTCCTGGCTTCAGGTTGGCATAGCTCCGGCCACTGCAGCCATTTGAGGAGTGAAGCAACGGAGGGAAGACCTTTCTCTCTCCCTCTCACTGTCTGTAACTCAAATAAATAAATAAAATCTTTAAAAAAAAAAGTATGTCCTGCTCTAGACAATGTTATCTTCCATTGAAAAGTTCATGAAAGAGATGCAATCACACAAAAATTATTGGAAAGGAAATAATAAATCT